ATAGAATAATTGTATCATTACATTTTTTTAAAGTTTTTAACAGGTGAGTGCACCCACCTGCGTGATGTAAAACAACACTAAGTTAAAAAAAATTGTCTTCATAACTAAATTTGCTGAATTTATTTATGATTATAGCGACTAAGATTTCATCTGAAATTAATACAAACATTCATCCCAGTGAGTAATTGAACTGTACATCAATCTACTTAAAGCTAGTATCCTTTATCGTTTTCATCAGCATCTGTAACCTTTTAGATAAATAACTAAATGCAGAAGATTACCAAAACCAATCAAACTGAAAACATGTACGCACATCGTAGGTTTACCAGGAAATATCTCATAATCTCACTCATCATCCCTTTTGGACCGTCATGTTATTACAGGGACGAGTTTGAGTGTTGTCATCAGTCTGCACGGGTTTGTCTACAGTTTACAGAAAAAGTTAAAATTAGCATTGAACTGTTTCAGTGTCAGCTTATCAAGGCTTAAATGTCAAGGACATAACATGTAAATAACTGGCAGTATTGTAGAGGTCTTTTGTTACGCTTACAGTCAACGGTCATTTGAAGGTGAATTTATAAAACAAAAACTTTGATATTTTTTGGTTTGTTTGCTTTTGTTGTATTCCATAACCAGCTTAATATGCAACCAGACCTCTATTTGATCCAAACATTTGTTCGTACTTATTAATAGCAGTATAGAGATATGTTTACATATGAGCAGAAAATACTATTTATCCATCATTTATATTTACTACAAGTATTCACTAAGCCCTGATAAGCTGGCAGGTGCATTTATTAATCCACCTAAAAGATTTGTACGAAAAAGAACCAAGCAAAAAAATTACAGTACTTGTAAATACATAAATGTACTGTATATACACACACACTATATCGCAATTCTCTGAGTAACTGTTTTATATGTATTCCTATATGAAGTGGGGTCATCTGTGTATTTTCAATTCAGCTGAACTTGTTCTTGAATTGTATGTTATTTCTATAATGAGAATATATTGTCTGAAAGGTGTAAAGTAATTTTCTTTTTGGATTAATTTCATAGGTAAAAGTATACTATGATGACTTTTTTTCTTTATTCATTAATTATTTCTGTTGTCAATATGTGACATAAGTAATCTCTGATTGTTTTGAGTGTCAGAATAAAGCAGTTATAAGAAGATTATGTCTGCTTTCACACATGGATGTTGTTGTCAACTTAACGACTTTCCATCGAACTCTGCGTTTCATTCGATTTTCTTTCTCTTGGATTTTTTTCTCACCTCTGGCGCTGTCCGGCGATTCAGGTAGTTGCAAAAGGAGAAAGTTTCTGTGGTGGATGAGAGCTCAATGCAATGCTGTTTAATTAGTCACTTATGAAAGCTGTCATATATCTCTAATATTACAGCACATTTAGAATAAGTGTCTCAGTTGTGTGAAACACTTCGGCTCTATAGCCGTTTTCAGACATGACCTGCAGATAAAGTCTGGAGAATATTATTCATTCTGCTGCGTAGATCACATGATCATATTTACAGCATCCCGACACTGTCATCAGCTCTTATCACCACAAACTCGCTGTTTCACCAGGAGATATTTGTTTTCTTTTAGTTTTTTTGCATCTGTTAGAAGCATCATCAACCCCCCCACTCACTCGCGGTGAAACTGGGGATCGGTTGCTGTGTTCTGACATCGGATTCTCTCGACTTTCTTTGCACTTTGTATCAGGGGCCCGGGCGGAAAAGTCACTCGGACATTTGCGTTCCCACATGCACCTGCTCTGGAGAAAATGCAGAGATTCTCTGGAGTTCGGTGCAGTTGAAAGCATTCAGCTGTCATCCATCACAGATTTCGGACATTGTTTTTGTCCAACGAGTGTCAGTTCCATTCACCTCCACTGCACCAGGGTGGCAGCAGAGATCCAAAACCTGGCTACATATAAACCGCAAAACTTCCCGCATGGCTCGATGCATCTAGGTCTAAGAAGACAAGTTGTTTTTTTGTACTTTGAGTGAACTGACCCTTTTAATAGGCTCAAGTTTTAATTTCTAAATTCAGACTTGTTTTAACAAACTAAGACTGAAAGAAGGACAGGCTCTAATACCTGAACTAACCCCCTCCTGAATCCTTCCTATCCACGGGTGATTAATATATTTGTGTCGGCAGCTCTTCTAGTTCTAGGCTGCCTGTCAGTGAGAACTATATGTGGCTCCTGCGCTATTGTGCTCCCTCCCTGCTGAGCTATAAGCCTGCATGTGGATATTTTTGTGTGGCGGGTCCCTGGCGAGTGCTTGGTAAATCTGAGCTATAGGGTAGATAGGGGGAGGTGGAGAAGCTCAGGCCACTTCCTCCATGAGAAGAAACAGATACGAGGAGACGCTGATTGAGCATGCCACTTGGTTGACTGTTTGTCTCTCTGGATTGGAAGTTTGGGGGGGTGGGCTGGGTAATGCACTACAAAGCCATTTCAAAATTAAAGCCTCGTCTTCTTTCATTTATTTATTTATTTATTTGCGAGAGACTCCACGGAGCTGCTGGGAATCACTCCGAATTAGCGAGCATCTGTCGTGACGAGGGTCCTGGGACATCTGCCTTGCCTTGCCTTGCCTGCCCCCCGACCTGCACACACCCCGCCCCACCTCTTCCCCTGCTTCCATCCAGTCCCATTACACTGAGACTTTTCACTTTGCACTGCCAAACTGCAGATCTCCACTTGTATGATTACAGCGCACTCTGATCTTTATTCTGGGGAGAGCAGCAGCACTCGTTTTGGCAGGCGGAAAGCCTCTGCTCCCGCTTCTTTTATGCCACATTACAAGAGGCGGATGAAAAGTGAATGAAGCTGTTGTCTCTCCGCTCCCAAACTTTTTTTTTTTTTTTGCAGTTTAGTTTCAAACATTGTTTCCTTTCGGCTGTTTTGACTCAGTTGATGTGTGTTAACCTGATTTTGTGAACTTGCTCAGTGTAATATTGTATATTGCATAGATTTCCAAAACTTGGGAGGGTAGGAATTTAAAGAAGGTGTGTGTTATCTATTCTATACATTATCTCATATCTTTACTTGAAATGTATTTTTTCAAAGAACGACTCCCAGCCCTTTATTTTCTGTGGCAAGATCCTCACTTCTAAAAACGTGTCTAGAAAGAAATAAAGTTTCACTGAAGCTGCTCCACACTGACTTTTCATAGCACGTCTCATAATGTATGCCTAACGTAAGAAACATTACATGCTGCATATTTACCAGTCTCCCCACTTTTCTCCCCTGTTTCCAGTAAATACAAAAGGAAGAGCTGTACTCAGTATTGATGGACATCACAGATGAAAACAACGAAGAGAGGAGATCTAGCTTTAAGAAAATAACACAAGAAGAAGAATACAAGAAGGAGTCCCTCTACTGAGGCTGGCGAGGGAAGACGGGAGGCGTACAAAGTGGCGCCGCGGCAGCGGTGTCAAACCAGCCACAAACTTGACAGACGGAGTGAGCCAGTTTCCACCAGGGACCACCTTTTTGCCGGGTAGAAAAAGACAGAGAGAGAAAGAAAAGTGTCCCGTTATTATAAAACATTTTATTTTTCTATACTTTTGTGATTTACAATGGTAAAAAGTGTGTATAAAGCAGTATATATGTACAAATCTGTTTTTATGTTTTTTGGTAAGGGAGATGAACAGTTGGCCCTTGATGCTGATTCTGTGGTATGCAGGAAGAAGGAGGGAGGAGCGCCCCCCTCCTCTCTCTATGGCACACTGCTCTGTCACTGAGGTCGTGTAAACAAAAACATAAACAGAAAAGGTGGCAGGGAGCGCTCGGCATCCAGGCAGAAGCACTTTCTACGCTCTACTTCCTGTGGGTGGAGTCAGAGGTCAGCCTCCTGGTCTCACTGCTCCGCCTTCTTCCTTCCAACCTCCCCGACCACTTCCTTACTTCCTTCCGTCCTTCCCTTCTTCCTTTTCGGGCCGGTGATGTCGCTCCTTCCTCCTTGTTGCGGTGTCACTGGCCGGCAGCGCCTACTGTTAGCAGCGTCCCCTGTGGATACTGTCGTGATGTCACTTCCTCCTGGCAGCACCATTGGGCATCCCCGCCCTCCCCAATGGGCAGCGTCACTGGTTTACAGCGTTGGGGAGTGGGGGGTTGAGCCACGGCGGGACGGTGAGACGGTTTAAAGCCGAGCCTCCCCGGTCTGCCCCTCTCCACGCCCCAGCAGAGGTCAATGACTATGGACTAGTTAGAGAAGATGGCGCAGAAGTCGCCGACTTTACTCACCTGCCAGACTCCGAGCCCAAGCCTTTGTGTCACTCTGCACCGACTGACTAACTATCAGACCCACGTGATGAAAAGGTGCGTACAACTACCAAGGATGCACGTTTCCACCTGCCGAGAATAACTCATCAACGTTCATGTAACAAATTGAATTATAATCGAATAATCCCATTGTACTACATCAGCAGGTGCATAACCAAAACACAAGCCTGAGGCATATAGACTATGTCGCTAGATAAAACATTATAGAAATATAGTAGTGCCCATCCAACGGTAACAAGGAACGAGGGCTGAAATATGTCAATTTCTTTTGTCAATGTATTCTGAAAATATTTATTTGTGTGGTTTCTTTTGTTTGTTTGTTTGTTTGTTTTTTTGCAGCACTGAAAACTTTTAAAGAGGAAAAAAAAGTTTTAATTTGGTGGAAGCGAAACCTTAATTCTTTATATCAGGAGAGTCACTGTAAACGTGTTTAAACAAGAATGTTGGTTCAGTTCTTTGAATGTACTTTAATGTCTAGGGTGTCCAATAAGTATGTATTCTTTTTCTGTATATAAATATATATACATATCTATTATATGGGCTGTGGTGATGTCAGGGAGTAGAGGGGGTGGGCAGGAAAGCCTCTGGCCCCCAAACATAGATATCAGACCCCCCCCTCCCCCTCCAACTACATATGTCCCTGATATTTACTGTAACATGTGATCATGTGTTATATGATTGAAAGTGTGATGGTGATAGTGTGAACTTGATCTCCCCGAAACCCCTCCCCCTTTACTACGCAAAACAACACACACACATCCAAAGCAGCGAAGCATCAATTTATAACATATCCAGAATGAAACACACACACAAACTAGATATTTTACTATTCAGAGCAAAAACAAAAGAAACACATCTTACATTTACCCACCAGACGCTTCAGGAAAACAATCACATCTGCAGTATTCTGTGATTCCGGCCCTTTTGTTGGAGCTGTGACCTGCTAATTAGTGCAATGTGTCAGATAAAAAGCGGATGAATATTGATTTTTCCTTTTCTTACTTGAACCAAAGTATGATTTGAACACACAGTCTCAGTGCTCTTTGATCAGGAGACAGCGGGACTCTGTGATGGCGGCGGAAGCCCGGATGTGTATTGACGTGACCCAGATTCCGAACGCTCATTACTGCTGAGGAAGAGCTCGCTCTTCTAGCTAATGTAACGAGCCCCACCGACGAAGCCCCGGGCTCGCCGCTTCCTGCAGGAGCCTCGGTTTTGTGAACCGCTGTTCTCATGCTGAACCTGTGGGCGGGCGGCTTTATTGCATATTGGGAATGACCTGCTGGCCCTGAGCAGAAACTGTATCATCAGAGGCGAGCAGGTTCGGGTGAAGCACAACTTTGTTTGAGAGTTCAGGGTACACTACTCGTGTAGTGGTTTTGTGTGAATGGTTCCAAGAAGGTATTACTAGGTTGAGCTCCTGACTTCCTGTACAAAACTACAGTGTGTACTGTTATTATCCTGTACAGTAAATCTCACCTCACACTTCTTGATTAACTTCATCTTATTTCAGGTTAAAAAAAAAGAAAAAACTTGTTCTGAATCAGGGCTCCTACCCACGCGACCTCTCTTCATCTGTAGACAGCTTCTCATATATTACAAAGAGTATCTATATCATGGCAACTAACTGTTGTAAAGTCTAAATGGGGTAAAGTCGGTCATTCGTTCTCTCCCATGCAGCGATCATATGCAGGCTTAGCATTTTCATACCTGTAGGTTTGTTTCTGAGAGTCATCTGATTCATCTGGCCTACTTACAGTGCTACACACTCATGGTGGGTCAGAGAAGACTGGGGAGCAGGTCGGAGATTCAGTTTTAGGGGAACTTCCTGGAAGCCAGAGCTGCTCTGGAGGCAGAATCAGCCTAACGCTCAAGTTAAATTGGCAGAGATGACAACCAACCACAGTTTCTGTTTGGTCACATGATGTCCACTAGTTTATCTATGCACTTTGCCAAAAAAGAAAAAAAAAGATGTGATGTCACATGTGACAAAGGGGAAACCACTTATTTACTCATTCTACTAGTTCAACAATGCAAAAGATTAATGCTGGTGTTATTATATATTTTAATCTCATCCAGTGAAAAGAGACCCACACAGCTTTCTGAAGAAGTTTGGTAATGCTTCTTTCTGCAGGATTCTTCCTCTCTCCTTTTTTTTAATTCAATGACAGGAAGCTGTTAAGAGTCAACGTTTAATTTTATTTTATATTAGAGGTCAACATGCAGACAAGCGTGTCACCGGTTTAGTTGGAGCAAACTTAAATGGAAGATTATTACTATTATTATTATACAGTACTGAGTAAGACACATTAAGACAAAACTTCCTCTTTCAATTGTTTTTGGTTTTTTTTATATTTTAATCATTTGAAAAAAAATATGACATTTCCTGTAGCATGTGTCAGGAGGGAAAGATTCGATAGCGTCACAGAATCCAGAAGTCTTGGTGCAAACTGGAGCTCCCATGAGACTTTGCTTCTGAAACGACAAAAAAACAGTTTTAAGCTTGAGATATGTGTTTTATATTATGAGTATTAAAATCATTAATTGGTGGAACTTTTGTTTTCCAATCTAACTTGTTAGCCCGGCTGGTCTTCCATGTCAGTAGCTGCACTAGCATCAGTGGTCAGGTATGAAATTGAAGAGAATATTTCATGTTTTTATTTTTAGGTGCTAATTTACCAGGTAGCTTTAACGCACACTCTCACAAAACTGTGGCTGTTTGTGGTTTCTCCTCGCTGATAAAGTTAAAACCTGAAGCAGCGAGTGTGTTTCTGCGTCCAGAGAAATTCTGTCCTTCAAAAAAAAAA